TACAGAGATGGATAATCAGATAATCAATATAGGTCATAATTAACTGTTGTGTAGGATTCTGCTGCTGTACTGCCTACCCCGAGAACTAGCAGAGATAGTTAATGCCAGAAAAGAAAGGAATCCTACACAAAAGGACCTGATTGCAGGAAAACTCAGACATAAATCAACTGGCGAGTTTGGGTCAGCGAGGCAGGATGAAAGAACTCTACAGGCATTTCTTGGTATTTATATTTCTTCAAAACAAACCATGAAAATCCCAACCCCACATGCACATTGAGAGAAACTGATTGATACCTTTTGGCTAAATGAGGGTAGAAAACGACATCTCCAAAGAAATATTGGACCAGATTCTGATCTCAGACACACTGGTGTTAATCCGAAGTGACTCCATTGGCGTCAGTACAGTTAAATCCCTGCTTTAGAGCGATGAAACTGAGATCAAAATCTGTTCCATTTTCCTTTCCTATAAAGTGCAAGGGGAAAATAAAGTGAAGAGTAACAGACGAAAACGCTAAGATTTTTCTGTCTCTAATATCCATGATGTCATCCCATAACAAAGTGAAACAAACAAACAGATGAGGAGTTTAAAGAAGAAATCAAACACAAACAAAGCGAAGGGATTTTTAGGATCACTGGACCTCTTTTTTGTGGCTTCTTTTTACTCTAATTCTTTCTCATAACGATATATGAGACGAAGGTTTTTTAAATTATTTTGATCTGCAGCGGTCCCTGTGTTGCATATCCGGATAGCAGAGGTTTGGCTGAACGCATGCATGAGTGTTGCTTCGTTTGTTTTGATTGTGAATCAGACGGTTTTGATCGTAGAAGTGAAAACACTGATTGTTTTATAGCAAATTGAGTCTGTGTCAGACTGAGCTGCCGCTTTATTTCAGCTCTTCATAATCGTTTGCCACCAACTTGTATGAAACCGTCTTTGCCTAAGAACTTATTAAACAGTGATGGTTTAACTTGATTTATGACTGAGAACTACTTACCCAGAGATCTTTCAAATGACTTGCATTGATCTGAAGATTTTGTTCTTTGGAATGTGACCCTGTTCGGACTTAACAGCTAATCAGGAAATGCTGCAAGAGAGCACTTTGTAAATCAATCACACACACACACAGGCGAATAATAACGGGGTCCTGTAACTTCGGCGCCTTCGGGCCCAAGCGCGCAGTTGCAATGACTGCGCCGGCCCTAGGAGCTGTCTCTGGTGCTGCAAGCGGCTTCTCCCCCGCGCTCCGCAGAGGGACAGAGATCCCTGGGGGGGGGGGGGGGGGGGGGAATGCAAACACAGATGTGCCATCTCAGGCTAGGGAAACACAAGAGCCGCTCTGCCGCGTGCAGCAAATTAAAATGTCTCCCCGGTTACTTTGCACGAGTCCTAGGAAATAAGGGGCTCTGCTGTTACAGGGCCCTTCTGGCCCCTGGGGAAACTCCCTGGAATCCGTCAGAGCTTTGCGATGTTGGCCGGCGGGATACGAGAAGGGGGAAACACAGCTCTGCTCTCTGCCTCAGCTGGGCTGCGGGTGCCAAAGGAGGGCGCGCACATAACACGCCTGTTTGAGGCGTGGGAAGGGAAGGCGTTGAGCTTTTTCAGGTGCCCGTGCAGCAGCTGAGAAAGGCCCCTCTGCAGGGCGCCAGGGTCTAGTGACTGACCCAGTGTCGCCAAGGGTAAAAATAGCTGTTCGGGGAAGGAGGTAGGACTCCACAGCAAAGCAAACGCAGAGCACAGCCCGGTCACGCCCGTGTGTGTTTTCGCCCGCACTCACTCGGGGGGAGAGGCCTGCCTGGTCCTGGGACAGATTCAAAACAACGATGAATGGCAATAGACAGCTACATATCATGCAAGTGTACAGAAATTCTTTGAGTCCACTTCCTGTTTATATACCTAATGGGTAAACGCTAAAGCACTTTGAATTGCAAATGGTTAACATAAGGGGTGGCGTTCTGCTTTCAAAAGATTGTTTTTAATCAGATGGCTGTGCCAGAACAAACTTTGTCTGAATGCGAGGGACACATTTGAAATTGTAAAGTATTTATTTAACTGGGGGACTTCAGAAAACCCTTCAGTGAGGTAAAGAAGCAGGTTCTACTCGAGCAAAATAAGTTAGTAGTTGACTGGAAAATATTCCACTAGAAATGTACAAATAAATGTCAACAAAAAAAAATAAAGAAAACTAATTTTCCATCGTGTCCTCTCTATTTTCGGAGGTGAAGCAAAAAAACAAAAATATTTACATAGCTATTGGGTGTATTTGCTGGAGGCAAGGAAATCAAAGTAACAATCTTTCCTTTGCCTGTTCCTTGGAAATTTTACGCAGCCGATTGTCAGTCAAAAAGAAAGACCAACTTTGCACATTCACAACATTGCGCCAGGACTTTTTGTACTGGTTGATTGAATTTAAATGAGTGTGCATCTGTAGCTTTTAAAACATGTAACTGAGTCCTTTCTTCTAAAGAAAGCCTATTTTAATTAGCTTCAGAAGCAAGCAAATGCTTCTAATTAAGTGATATTTTTTATAATTTAAACAAGGAGCAATCAAAATTATCAGCAAGTGCGCATTTAAATTTAACTTCAGGCATTCTTTTGTAACATTTGGAAAAGCGAAAGAAATGCGTATCTTAAACCGTAGCTAGTCCTACTCAAATCCTGCTCCCTTTACACACACGGAGAGAGGAAGGCGAGCAGGGTTTCCCTTAAAAGTACATTTCACAAGTTGTCTAACATTCCAAAAATAAAAAATGAAATATACATTCAAACACATTTCCTAAAATCCAGCAGCAAAATAATCTTTCTTTTAAAAATGTTTCCTTTCTTTCTAACAAAATGTTTTTAAACTTTGTACTAGTGAAATCCTGAGGTGAGAGAAATACAAAAAAAAAAAGTTTAAATAGATTAAAATGCGATGCAAACTGGTATTTGAATTCTGCCATAACTTTCCTGATCGAACATGTCATTTTGAAAGCACAGCTGACTCGTTTCTGCAGCACTGAAAGGACAACTCGGGCAACACAAGCTATTCTGGCTAAAGTTGTTTTTCCCCCCTTTGTTACTTTCAGAATTGGCGTGGACAAACGTGAACAAAACGAATGGTTTGCGGGGGAGTAATATTAATGAAGCCAATGAAATCATCTCGAATTGGTTTGGCTCAGCTTTAAATTAGCATTATTTTAAACATGGACTGATTTTGCATTATTCTTGGCTTTAAACACTTCCTAGGACACGAGTTCATTCTAATGTGTGCTCAGATAAAGGGTAAATGGAATGGCCCGAGTCCCAAATTACTGGGAGCCTCTTCCTCGTCCTAAATCTAAATTATGGGGGGGTGACTCTTATTAATTTCTAAGACCTAGTAAGAAAGGACTCGACTGAGTCTGTGGCCTAAGCAGGGCTGCTGCTCTGTATAATATCGCTGGTCCCTGCACAGACGCTGGGTAATTGTCAGAGTCCGCTGTGACAAGGGCAGAAAATGAAGTAGGCGTTTCCGAGCCCTCTCTCCCCTTTTGTTAGATCAAGGCAGAGGTCAATATGGTTTTAACGCAAATTTATTAGCAGAGAAATCAGCAAACCATTCGCTAATTAGCAAAGCCCAAATAAATGTGCCCGCAGGCTCTTTCTTTGGAGAGGAAACGCACAGCACCGAGCCAGCCCAGCGCAGCCCTGGGAGGAGGCCAGAACCCTGGGCGTTATGAATGTTTGATAGGTAATTGCTGTATATCTTTCCGATTGAGGGGCGCCGGGGGGCCAGTGTTGTCTTCACCTCCGAAGGCTGGGGCTGGCTCGCTCGGAAGGCGGATAAAGAGTGGCAGGCGGACAGCGGCAGCCAGGCTGCAAATTACAACCTGTGACTGGCTGCAGCTCCCTGCCTCTCGCAGGGCCTGGAAGAAAGGCGAGCATCTGGGATGTTTACCTTTACCTCCTTTCAGTTTTCCTAGGTTACCACCCCAGACCCGCTCGCAAGCTCAGCAGCTCTCTGCGCGTCCATCCGTCCCCCCCCCTTTCTACTCCTCCCCCCACGGCAGAGCCTCTTTTGGCGCTTGGGTTTGGTCAGGTCCAGAGCTGGCCCCCCCGCCCCACAGCGGAAACGAGCCCTGAGGCGGGTTCACGCCCGAACGCAGGGCTGGATTTCAGAGCGCTAAAACAAAAGGCAGGACGAGATTTAAGTGGGCTCAGCCGGCGCGGCTCTGGTTGAAGAGTGAAACCGGCGACGAGAGAGAAGATCAAAGATCTGCAAGGTTTTATGGGCTAGATCTGGCTTGATTCTCTCGCTCGCTCGCTGGCTCCTAATTGCTCACAGTCAGCCGCCTCGCGCTGGCTGGCTGTCCTGCTCGCTTCCCCCAAGCATGCTGCTGCTCTGGAACAGCTGCTAGGCTAGGGACCACAGTCCTCTGTCCCAGGCAGCAGGCCACCCAACCTTGCGAACCATTCAGTTTCCTCGTCAACGTCTTAAATATTCAGGAAGGGGAGAAAGGGAGAAATACAGAGAGAGAGAGAGAGAGAGAGAGAGAGAGAACAGACCACAGCTAGAACAGCAAAATGATCATTTCAAAAGCATCTGTCTGTCTGTCCCTCATGCAGCTCCGGAAAGACTGAATCCCGCAAACAAAAGAAATCACCACACTATTGTCTTAACCATCAGCTTTAAAAAAAAACATACCTGACGATGTTTAAACTAAGGGCTCGGGTAGGTAGGACTTTAAAAATATAGAAACCAAACATACAAATCTTACAGATCATTGAACAGTGGCCCTAAAACGACGGGCTCTGGTTTGGGGACCCGAATTTCTTGCATCAGTTAACTTCAGTAAAATTAGCTTACTTAGATTTCCATTTTTTGTTACAAAAAGATAGTTTATTTCTGGTTTCTTTCTCTCTCTCTCTCTCTTTTTTTTTTTTTTTTTTTTTTTTTGGTAATTTTCAGTCACAAAAAAAAAATCTATATTTTGTCACCTAAGCATTTATTTTACTGAGTTCAAAAAGACATGAAAAGGGAGAGGGGGGAGAAATCATGTATTTTTTTAGTAAGGTATATAAGTGAATTTTTGACAACATATAATAAATATGATATATCACTTCGCACTCAGTCTGTTCAAATGTACATTTCCTTTCAGATTACGGAGCATGCCACTTTTCAATTAGAAAAAAGGTCATGAGAAATCAGTGCAAAGTTCTCCGTTACCCCTGGTCTTCCGCGCTGAGGGACGGGAGGTTGGGTTTGTTCTTTGTATCCCTCGGTCCTCCAGAGTCTCTGCTGGCTCGGGTCTGGCTCCCTCCCTCCCGCCGTCTCCCGTTCCGAGCTTGCCTAAATCATTGCTCCGTCTCGCAAGCCCTGGAGGTGTGTTCGATGGGTTGGTTTGTTTCACTTACTGGATCGGCTCTGGGTTCATGGTTCAAAAGTCCCTGCTCTGATTGAATCGTCTCCGGGGCTGGCTCTTGGCTGCCTTCAGAAGCTCCTGGCCCCCTTTTATCTCCCCCGCAGTCGCTTAGCTCCTGCTTTTGGTGGTCGGTTTTTATTTGGGGGCAGAGGGGGGCTAGCGGCTGGGACAGCGGCGAGCTCTCACCGGGGGTGCGGGGTACCCGGGATAGGGCTGGCCAAGGGGTTGAGAGCGGGCTGACCCCCGGGCCCCAGGCCGTGGATGAGCACGCGGGGCACGAGGGGCCGCTGGAGCTGAGGGTGCGGAGCTGGGGGAGTCCGGTACATGCTGCTGTACATGGCCGCGGCCGCTGCAGCCGCTGTCGTGCTGTCCATGCTGCCCAGCAAGCTCGGGTGGTAGAAATAGGGAGAGGGGAACATCCTCTGGAGAGCGGAATAATTCCCGGCTTCGGCCAGCAGCTCCAGTCCCACAGCCGTCTGCCGCTTCCACTTCGTCCTGGAAGAGAAGGAGCACACAGGTCTAGAGCTAGCCCGGGACCAGACCCCGGCCATGGCTGCTCTGTTTCCAAGGGCCGAAAGAGTTCCCCAGGGACGTGAACCCCAAACCCTACCTGTCCTTGAAAATGCTCTTTCACACATACACACACACACTCCCTCTCTCCTTTGCAACCCGAATGCCTGCTCCGCCATCCTGCCCTGGCAAACAAATCAGTGGGGAAATCGACCTCAGGTCCCCGGGGTTTAGCCACACGCACAATGAAATGAAATGAAATCCAAAGGACAATTTCCCCTTCCGTTTGCAGGCTTTCCGGAGTGCGACGTTCTAGAATCGCAGGTGTCTGCCTTCAAACTTTGCAGTGTCACGAAACCTGAGGGACTGATTGGTCCTGCATCCTAAAAACCGAACTAAAAAATAAATAGTAATAATAATAATAGTCAAACGGTTCCTGCAACATAAAGACGCAGGAAAATATCTAACAAAGAAGGGCGAAATGCTTTCATTTCTAGACAGCAGGGATCCCCGCTATAAAAAAATATTGACTCTTAGTTTGGCAGCATGTTTATAGCGGCACACACGGCATTTTCGCTCTCCTGACCCAATATTTCAACAATTTTGTGTCCCGGCCTTTCCCCCTTGCCGAACCGCTCCCTGTGCCGAAGCCCAGCGAGATGTGAGCTGGTGGATACACACACTCACTGCAATCCCAGCACAATTAATAAACATGGCGCCCTGTTTAGATTGGATACAAATGACACTAATGTTTTCCGACAGAATTAGGGTGGCTGAAACCGTATGTAATGAGACAGAAAATTACGGCAAAGATGACAACTGGACGTCGTTTTCCAAACCGAGTCCGCCGCGATCAGAAAACACATACGCTTACTTGCCTCTTCGGCTTCACAGCGCGGACAAATGGAAACCAAGCACTTTTGTCTTGTTTTTTTAACCCGACCCATTTTACAACGTGATTCACTAGTCACTGTCCTAAGAGCACACACGGAGAAATCCTCGCCAACCCCGCGATGTCCAAACGGGCCACAGAGGCATGCCCAGAGCAACACTGCCTACCGAGATTTCAGCGGGATTTCTTTCCCGGTAGGCAGGTGCCTGGGACACAGGAAGAAGGACATGGCCCCAGTTTTGCAATCAAGATTTGGCCATTACTTATTCATGTGTGTATTCGTTCATATTTATACGCTCTGCTTTATTAATTAGCCACGGCTGAGACTACTTGGTTGACTGACTAGACTGGCAAGTGCAGGCAACCTGCACGGGCGCCTCCATGGCTTTTCTTGGCCCTTCCTCGAGAGCGACTGCAGCCGCCAACACCAGGCGTTTGTTTCGCAGTTTACTTACTGACTTTATTATCCTTCCTCTTACCTGTCCATTTAATTTCATTTTAGGCACGTTGCTACTCCCTTTATTCTAGCATGGGCAAGGAGAGAGTGTGTGTGTGTTGGTTGTTCCTTTCTGCCATCTACCAACAGTCACAGATGTTTGCGCTCCCTGCCCAGATCTCACTGCGATTGCCTGGAGAGGTGGGGTGTATTTCTTCCCCCGGCCTTCAGACCGTTTAGCTCAGACTGTCTGAGCGGCAACTCTGTTTTTAGGGGCTTTGGGGAAATTGTGTTTTTTTTGGGGGGGGGGAAGGCGGAGCTCCTTGAGACTGCCCGCCTCCCTTACCTCCGGTTCTGGTACCAGGTTTTGACCTGCGTGTCGGTCAGGTTGAGAGCCGCAGCCAGGTCCATGCGGTCTTGCACGCTCAAATACTTCTGCCGCTCGAAGCTCCTCTCCAGCTGATTGAGCTGATGGTCCGAAAAGGCCGTCCTCGCCTTCCGAGGTTTCTTCGCTCGGACTGGGGGGCTATCCCGGCTACTTGTAATCTCCCGGTCGCCCTCTTCTTTTGTCCCTAGGAACAATTCACAAGCACAACACTAGAAACAGGGTCTAAAGCAGCAACCCAAGGCAAGGCTGCTCGGGGTCTGGGACTCGGGGCAAAGTCGATTTCTTTCTAGAGTCGATTATCATCTGACTGCTGCATTCAGGACTACAAGGACATTCCTTAATTTAGCTGATGCCTTTTCGTACCTACGTGTCTAAGTGGGTTTGACAGGAGGGTCTGGCGATTTCTCTCTATGCAGCCGACAAACAGTCCCCCTTTCTGGGGTAAGGTTTTTCCCCTTTCAGGTCCACTTGGGGGAGGTTAAAATAAAGTGCAGAACAGCTAGCGCATCAAATGTGCTAATGCCTCCGACAGGATATGTCACCCAAGCACCAAGTTGAGCTCAAATTGCTGAGCACGTCCCGGTGACAGCGCTAAGATTTCCGGATTCTATTTGTCAACTTTGGTTTTTTTGCTGAAATGCTGGGAAATCGATATGTCAATCCATCTCTGTTTGTACCAGTTTTTGCAGCGCTTCTTGATCTTCCCTGCAGGAAGAACAATAATCTCTCTAATTGACCCACTGGGGAGGTTGGTGCACAAAAAATCGCCAGACCAGACTGTTCATCTGTTTTGGGCACTCTTATGCTAATGTTAAAATAGCAAAATGAATGGCACACATGAGCGTCTTTCTATTATTCATCGCACAACATGGCAAAATAGGTGAATGGCGTAAAATTAGGAAAATGTGTCCTCTCACCGCATAGTTTAAAGTGTGCCTCGTGCAAAGCCATTTTACAGAAAGCAGCGAATCCTTCTTCGGCATAAATTAAGGAAAAGGCTTTTCAAAGGGCAGCTATCTTCTTAAATATAACCCCCACGCCCATACACACGCATATATATGTATATTTAAAACAGGAAATACCCCACTACTGCAGACTCCGCAGGTGTACACAATTCGAAAAAGAGAAACATCCCATCCCAGCATAGGAAAACACTGGGAGCTCATAAAATGTAAAAAGCCTTCTACCGTGATCTAGTGAAAAGTTCTTACCTACTTTTAGATCTGCTTGGAAATTTGTCCTATTAAATTAAGTGCTGCTAAACCTCTGTGCTTGGTGTCATTTAAACGGATTAGCATTTAAAAAAGAAGAAATGCATCCAAGTTTAAAAAGAAACAAACGGTCAGACTTTTTTTTTTTTTTTTTTGCCAAACAACTAAACTAAAAAAAGAGGGGCGCCCCAGCAAGAGAAAAAAAGATTTATTTCTCCAGGGATCTGATATTTAAACAAAAAAAAATCAGAGACAATAATTTAAAGATAATTGGATTTTACTGTTTTTGGTGGGATTTTTTTGGTTTTCGTTTTTTTGTTTGTTTGTTTGGGTTTTTTGTTTTTGTTTTTTGTTACAGCTCCTGAAATATCAGAAATGTGACCAGGGAATTGAATCGCGTCCCATATCAAATTGTGTAGAATACTGGCCACCGGAGAGTCATACCATAAGGTTATTATTAATCAATAGCATTAGTGTTATTAGGAATCAGAGTGAAACCCTGTCACGACAGAGGCTGCTCAAAAGCCATGGCGGAAGCGGCAGAGGCGGCTGGGGTAATATACTCACCGTGGCATTTGAGATCATTCTGCGTATCGTCGCGTTTGTCTAGTTTGGTTTTGCTGTCCTCCTGCTCTAGTTTTGGCCTGAAGCTCTCGTTGGCTGCGTTGCCCTCTTGTTTTGGGGTGTGATGGGGAGAGGAGACACTGGTGCTGTAAGGTGCACAAGCCGCCAGCGGTTTGCTGTCGCCCAAAATGTCTTTAATTAAAAAAGAAGAGGTGGAAGTCCTGGGGGCAGAGTTGCCAGAGCCCAACTGTTGTTGCTGTTGGGGTGATTGCTGCAAACTTTGCTGCTGCTGCTGCTGGCTGTGATGGAGATGGTGATGCTCTTGCACCAGATGCTGCTCGGGGTGCTCCATGGTGACGGAGATGGGGGACGAGGGAGCCGTCCCTACTGTGTCTATCTCCGAACAAGGGGACGGGGTGGCCTGGTTTCTAAAATCCGCAGTCCTGGCATCGCTGTTGAGCTGCCGAAAGTCTCCGTTCATCATGCCGGGGCTGCCTGAGCCGTTAGTAGACAAAATCGTGTCTATTCCAAAGCTCGACCCGCTAGATCCTTCCATTGTGGTCACTCAGAGAGGCGCCTTCATCCCAGTCCTCCAGCCGGGGCTCGGGAGGCTCGAGTCACCGCCACAATCGGATCAATACATAAAACAGCAAGGAGAATGTCAGCGTCTTTCAAACAAACAGAAAGTGGGGGGGGGGCGAGAGGGGGCTGGGATGGCGACCAGACGGGCTGGTGGAAGGGCAGCCACGGGACTAGGAAAGAAACAATCCCCAGCCTGGGGGGGAGTGACCAGGGAGAGGACGGAGAAGGCGCGAGCAGCAGGCTCAGGCGGTGCGCTCGGACACACGGACACACACGTGGGGTTGGCCGTGTTGCTCACGGGGCGCTACCGGAGCGTGGCCAGCCCGGGCTGGGTCGCCCGCCTAGGTCGCATCGCAGCGGGCGGCAGCCGCCGCAGGAGGCGGCAGGGCGCCCGGGGCCGGGCCGGGGGCCGCCGCGGAGTTAGTGAACTTTCTCGGGAAGTTGAGGCGCGGCGCAGGGGGGGCGGCGGCGGCGGCAGGAGACGCGAAGCGGGACGGACCCGGGCCACTGCCGCGCTCTTCCCGGTGCAGCCCGGCTCCTCTCGGCTCCAGCGACTCCCTCCCGTGACGTCACGGCCATTGCCAGCCGCGTCGCCCCTCCGCTTTATTATAAACCCTGGGTTTTTTCCGCCAGCCGGCACAAGCCCCCATTGGCGGCCCGCGCGGCCCCGGCTGACGCCGAGGAGCGGCAGCCAATGAGCGCGGGCCCTGGGGCCCTTGTCAATTTGCGAGCCGGGGCTGGGCGGCTACAGCGTCTCCAGGATTCCTTCTGCAGTCGGTCTCCAGCCCGGTTCCAGGGCGCACCGCCGCCTCAGTCATCAGGCGCGGTAGCGGTGATCACCACCACCGCCACACAGAGCAATAAAGTGCAGCGTGTGGGAAGAGAAAGAAGGGGGGGGGCGGTTTGCCCATTAGTTTAAGAGGTGAGATCGAGTAACAGAGGGGGGAGATGATGATGGGGGGGGGGAAGGGCAGCATGGAAATCCAGTGTAGCCATCCCAGCCTGCTCGACCCACTCTTTTGAAACTCACACCTGCCATAGAAACTAAAAAGGGTAGCAGACATCGATGGGAAAATAAATGACAAGGACCCCATGAGAACATGGGCAAAAACTTCCAAGGGACTTGTTTCCTGGCTTCGCCTCCTGGTGTTTTGTACTCCCTTGGCTAGCCTGTGAGAGCAGGTGCCCAGGTTTCCATCGCACGCCAGGTTGATGGGAAATGCTTTGCATTTATTGACTAGGAAACGGGGGGGGGTTGCATTTATTGACTAGGAAACGGGCGGGGGGTTCAGTTCTGAGCTGAGCGAAGAGGCTTCTGCTCTCCAAAGGGGAAAAAATTAAAAGGAGCGCGAAGCCTGTCAGGAAACTAGAAGAAGCCAGTGCAGCACCCAAAGCAGTTTCCAGTTAGAGAATGCATGCCAATTAATCCGGATTTACTAATAGAGCAGAGGCACAAATGTCCTCCCAGTTTAGTGACTCGGTTGCAGCCGTTCTGGCTTCCCCGAGTCCGGGGGTATTGCTTGAATTCGTTAGCCCCTTTGGGCTCTCTCGGGTTTCTCTTGTTTTAGCGTTTCATTTGGAGTGGGAATAGTTACTGTCGATCCGCCTGGGACTGCAGGAAATTATTCCACTGGTTCTTCGGAGGGCATCAACTTGTGTTAATTTCTCTAGGACGACTCCAACCTGTCTCTTGTTGAATGTCAGAGTAATGGGAACTGCCACTGACAAGACGTCGTATTACTCCTGATTAAGTACCGTGTCAACCTAATTAGCAGAGTAATTATAAGGTGCTAATGAATGATTCAAAGTTCTTTGAGTTACATTTTACTTCGAATTACCATTTTAAGGACCCCATGAATCTAAGGTAAACCGTGCTAGCATCACTGCCATGTCAGCCTGCAAGAATATATTTCTTACCACATCAAATGGCAATTAAAGTCTCCGAGCTTTTTCCTTAAGTTACATTAATTAAAAAATAAAGTAGGCAAAGGAAAATATATTTCAAAAATATTATAACAAGGCATTTTAATTATCTATGACTCTCCCTCCCTCCCGACCAAAAAAAAATAATCTTTTTTTGCCAGTCTTATACATTGAAATGAGTCTAACTGACAACATGAAATCAAGGGATGGGTGGATTCACTGAGGTGGCAGAAGGCTTTTATGTGGGGGCTGCATCCTTGCCGACGGAAATAGATACAGGAAGAATAATAGAGGGACGTGAAACAGGATTAACTAACGTACGATATTTAGAGGCGTAATGTTCGCTGATAGCGTTAGACAATGTGCTAGATGAGAGGCATTAAAGCTAAAACTGACAGTTCACTAGTTCAGTGGAACGCCACAGGGAAAAAAAGAAGAAAGAAAATGGGTAAATAAAGTACCTGAGCCAGGTCTGAGATAATCTTCGTTGTGGACAGGTGTCTATAGAGAGCTTTCTTTTTGTTAGTACAGAAAAAGATTTGCTGTGATGGCTCTTCACTGTTAGCTGAAAGCCTCCTCTTATTTTGGCTACCCCATCATAGCGAGCCCCTCTTTAACAATCTCCTGCCATAGGTCAAGCTGAGATTCATCGTAGTTATTGATGGATTGCTGGGTTAGGCATAAAGCAGCCTTAAAAGGTCGGTATTTTTTATGATATTCTATTTAATCATGAAAATTCCTGCATAAAACTACCGAGATCATTAATCCTACGCGCAGAACTGCAGCATTCATTGTTACATCTGTCCAGCAGACCCTCTCCTCCTGGCATTTACTATTAACTGCCGAAAATATGTCACTGGGTGGCAGTGATGACATTGGATCATGTTCTTTCTCGAATTTATACTTTTAAAAAAATATTGATTCGGGGCATTATTTGCAGGGATCGAAGCCATCAGCATTCCGCCGCGGCGCATTTCCTAAAGAAATATCCGCATTAAAAGTTGGAGGAAGATTGGTGCCGCCAGGGAAAACACATAACATAGGAGACTGAGTGATAGCACAACAAAAATCAATTATTCCAAATCCTTTATAAATAATTCATTTCAGATTGGTTTGGTTTGGTTTATACGCCTAACATGACTGAAGAGTGAAAAAACCGCCCATAGCACAGCTTGTGTTGTGTGGTTAGAAATGTTATTGACTCGTAATATTTAACTACGTGGGCAAAGAAATCAGGAATTTGACCCAGTGGCTGAGGAAATGTAGAGGGGATAGCATTTATTTCGGTAAGGAATCAAGCCGGGCCAACATGTACATCTGCCCGCTTGCAAACAACCTATGCAGGATATAGTCTCTTAAGACTTATTAATTACATTTTCGTGGAAAGGGAGGCTTTGATTCAAACGGCAGCTAAGGAGACCTCTTAAAGCGGAATCCGCTGTGAAGTATAGATCTAAAGAAAAAGCAATGCAGTAGTTGGCTATGTAGCGATTCCTGCCTTTGGTTTTAAAACAAGGCTTGTAGTCACGACGTAAACATAATTTATGACCATTTACCCCTCCCAGGTAAGCTTGAAATAAAGTAACCATTCCCATTTTTGCAAGCTTACACGGGTTTTTTTACAAGTTGACGGGATACATGACAATATATTTGTAATCAATTAATTCTTTTATAGATCAAAGGTTGAAAATAAAATCTAAGAACAGTGGATTTAAAATTAAACATTGTTTAAAACGTATTCGACTTTTATTTACCTTTAGACTGCTTTCCCGTGTCGAAGAACAATCTAATTCAAGGAATTATTTGCGTATTAGCTTCTTGTAGATTTGTTCGGGCCTTTATTTCTGCATTTAAACAAGGAGCATATTTATGGCATTTTCGTTGCAGTTCAGAGAATGGATTGTTTAACTAAAGTATTTAAGAAGTTTTCCTAGTAAAGCCAAAACTTTGACTCTGGCAACTGTCGAGCTATCAGCATCAACTTATATATATAGGTCTGTCAAGTTACTAAATTCATCTTCATCTGGCTTTATGCTGAAAAGCTACAAAGTGTAGAGACGGCTTTAAATTTTTAAGCCACTAACACATTTTCTTGTTTCAGGTGTCTAATGATTTTGGAAACAAAATATGTCTTTCACATCTCCTGTGTTTAGCTTTGGTGTTTTGCTTTTGCAGAAGTTGTCTCAGTCTGCTTTGTAACGGAAGTGAACTGTGAAGGATAGCCATCTGCTTCTACGGTAGATTTTGATTTTGATATTCTATCCCCATTCATGTTTAATTTACACGTGTCTTTAAGTGTCCAGTTGTTGAAAACAGAAAGCCTGATCTGGAAGAGATGCAATGGCTCCTTTGTCCACTGGGCGGCGATAGGGGTTACCAACAGATCATCTATTGTCTAAGAAAGAATCTTGGTCCAGGGAGAACAATACTTTTAGTGCTGCTTTGCTGATGTAGTTAACATGTTCATTGTCCTGAGAAATCTTTATTATTTTTTCTAATAAATCATGTAAGGTTTGCACTATTAAAAATTAAAAGCAGATATCTTTTATATATTTTAAAAGTTAAGAGAAAAATTGAAAGAGAATGACCGACCTAGGGAAAATTCCCCAGAAGTACTGAAGGTTTCCTAGAGAATAAACGAAGGCTCCAGCAGCAGTCGAATTTGTTCTGCTATCTTTCTTTGCAATTTACAAAAAAAGTATATCCTAATTATCTCCAGGGAAATGTCTGATCCGAGATAAGATGTTACACTGGCATAATCCTTTAAATAACAATACGCGGGCACAGGATTTAGAGCTTAAAGTCATGTCACCAAACAAACAGTTAATACTTTTATTATCATGGCTCTCTCTGTTTATTCGCGTGTATATTATTGTCAAAGCTGAAATGTTTACGAGAAAAGACCTAGAGCAGCATATTTAAAACTTTTGCTTGTTTGTTTCTAGGTGGGGATTTATTCTGATCGTTTCGATGCCACTTTCCCCTTCTCTAGTGCTCGCTTTTGCTCCCTGACCCTACAGACGGCTTTACAAAAGGCAACTCGTCCTGAACAGAAATCTAATGGAGCCAGTTGTACCAACCTGAGCTAGGAAATCAGCTGCTAGGTTAAAACACAAACCCATGTGTGCCCGCAGATCTTTTGCAAGGAGAACTGCAGATATTTCCCCCTCCCACCCTCCATGACTTTTTATAGGCAGGAACTGGAGACACACAACTGAAGGTTTTTCTCTTTTGACTTTTGTTATCCTTGGCAGATCTGGAATACCCGGGATCAGCTCGTCCCACCCCCACCAGCTCCTTGGAGGAGTTAGGTGATGCTCGGCCTGTTCCGCCCAAGCAGGATAACAGCCCTTAGACAACCACAGGGCCCCATAGTAACAACGATCAGGGTTCGTGTAACTTTCTCACTCCCTGTCCCTAGGAAAGCCGCAGAGGGGCTGCTCGCACGCACCTTCCAGGGGAGGCGGCTCGTGCCGTTTCTCGCCTTCAGAAGTTCTGTCAAACCTGCCCAGGTGCGTGAACCGGAGCGGCCAGCCTGGGCTGGGCCTGCCTGGCAGCCGGGGGGCAGCGTGCGCCCAGGGGGGACGAAGGAGGACGTGCGGTCGATTTGCACCTGGCTAGGCCGGCTCGCGGCAAGGGCACCGCTCGGGTTTTGCCAGGTCTGGCGGAGCCTCAGCCCGGACCGCAGGGGCTTTGCAGCCGGAGAGCGCGGCTCCGGCTCGCCCCATCCCGCGGGCCCGCTTCGCCTGGCTCCCAGCCTCACGCGGAGGGGCCGGCGGAGTTTGCCACATCTCCCCCTACGTCGGGAAACCCTGACCCGGGCCGGGCCGGGCAACAAGGCCGCTCGGGAGCCCTCCTGGAGCGCGCTGCAGAGCCGCCTCTCCCTGCCCACAGCCCAGCTCTGCACTGGCGCGGCATCTGATTTCGTCCCGCGGATTATTGGGGCGGGGGGGGACCCCAATCAAAGCAATGAGCGAAGGTGCCACTCAGCGGAGGAGACTTCATTCCCGATGTTAATTAACAGGCAGCTAATTAAAACGCCACTTTGAGCGCTAATCAATCGCTTTATTAAATCGGGAGCAGGAAGGGGAACACATTGAACGCTACCAGTTAGGGTATCATGGTATCGAGCGGACGGTCGATGCGGGGACAGCGGATTAGAGGTTTGCACCCTATCGATCCCTGCCCGCTGTAGCTGCGGTGTGTGGGAGGCTCAGATCTGCTGCCTTCTCGGCTGCCCGCGGCCAGCAGGAGACAGGGATCGCGTTAGGGACGAGCCCGCCTTCCCCAGGGGCACGGGCCCTGAGAAGCGGCCGCCACAGAGTTACCCCGCAACACACCATACCAGGAGCGCTGGCCGTGGCACGCCCAGGCGGCTCTCGGGGCGGGAGAAAGTTCCCCAACTCCTCCCACCGACCTGGACTTTTCAGCGACTCTTCACACACTACTTTCCCCTGCCAGGGCTTTGTAGCCACAAGTGCAGATCCACGTGGGGAACAAGCGAGGATCTTGGCAGAGGAAGCCCGCTGGCCAGTGCTCCGGGGCGCACAGAGAGCTGCTCCCCGCCTGTGTCCTCCTAGAGCCTCCCTTAGCCCCTGGAGGGAGGTGGGGCCGTTCCCGCAGACTTTGGCCGCAGACTTTGGCCGTTCCCGCAGACGCGCGACAGAGAGCTGGGGTAATGATCACGCTCCGGCAGGAGGCCAGAGGGGTCGCACACGTTAGTCCGGCCCCAGCGAGCCAGGGCCTCTCCCCAAGGGACTGCGGGCTCCCACGGCCCACACTGACAAGTGGAACCTGGCTGTTCTCTCCTGTGTTGGAAACCCGCCGCTTCAACCGGCTGGGGACACAGACACACGCCTCAGAAACCGCTCAACCAGGAAGCCCAAACCCCAAGTTTTACAAGCATTTTCCTTTCCTACATTATTGATATGCGTGGTTTCTCCCGGAGGGAGGCCCACTTGGCAATAACAGGAGATGTGAATTGGAACGGGCGAGCCCATAACTAAGGGATCCCATTCTGTAACAAGATGGGGTGGGGAGGGAAGTCTTGGCTCCTGGCTTGATATTAACAGTTCAGAGATTAAACCTACGCTGGAATATTCTGCCTTTGTCCTTCTTCAGCAAAG